GCTGGTAATTACAGACGATGGTCTTATGGCTAAAATGATTAGATTATTTCAGTTTTAAAATGTTCTGAATCTCTTCTATTTTGCTCTAGAAAAATAATTAGGGGGATTATTGCACTCTTTTGAGTAAACCAGGGTCTGTAAGAACACTGATCTGAGGGTTGAGGATGAACCTAAGGAAGAGGGGATATTGATAATTTCTTATAGCAAAAAGCATGGTAGTGAGGAACAATTTGCTTTACATCGTAATGGCTGATTTAAGTAGAGGGGGGTAATGGAAAGCAGGCCAGTTACTGTGTCCCCAGAAGCTACGGCCCTGGGTCAGGACTTGCTGTCGCTTAGCTGGTACAGAACAGCTGACTGGGATACCAGTTCCTTGCGACCGAAAAGGAAAATACGCTCGTTCAGACCACTTCTGCTCTGCATTTGGCTCTTGGTCTGAGAGAAGAATTTACTGGCGGACAGGCAGATGTGATCTCGCACTGGATACAAAATTATCCCCCACTATCAAAATACAGACTGAGGTCAACGTGTGTCACATGACAGTGCGTATGATTAAAGGTATTGTCCCAAGGATTGAGCAGAACCCACATGGCTTTCCAGGTGCAGGGGCCTGAGAGCAACGAATGCCGTGCATCTACATCAGCTGCACTGAGGGGCAGCAACTTCTTAATATGTGCTCTTGCAATAGCTTAAGCTGTTTATCTCTAGCAGAAACGTTCCTGTGGAATTCCCTCTGTAGATCCTTGTCCTAATGAGTCTTCCATGTGGGCTGCACAGGCTCCCGAGTGTGTTTTACCAGAGCCCCTTGGGTCTAGGGAAGCTCTGAGGCTTCCTGCATGCCCGGTATGGAGAGCAGAGCGGTGCAAGACACTGTCCCAGCTCCCGTCCTACAGCCTGAGGCCAGGCACCACTTCCTGCTGCGGCGCAAATGGGTAGGCCGTTAATAGTTTGTTTGCCTTAGAGTATTTCAGAATACTTTAGCAGAAGATCAGCAAATCCAGGTACTGTGTGACTCACTGTGAAATTCAGTTTTACAGTAGTCTCCAACAGTGTATCATACTTCTTCCAGTCCTGAAAACGCCGTAGTGTGGGCACGTTAATGGCAGGTACAGGTTGCACTAACGTGGGAAGAGATGGGTGGCCTTTTGGGGAGTCTAGACTGAAGAACACAGCATTTTAAAGAGCAATATTCCAAGGTTAACACCTTGAATTACCTAGGAAAGAAAATGCTGCTAGGAAGCCTATGGAGTTTTGGAGTGCTGGAGCACTGTGTGACTTAGGCAAAACTGAGCAGAAAGGAAGGGACTAAATAAACACTTTATGTGGAACCCTGCCCAGGAGAGTCACGTGTAGGTGAGTAATGGGCTCTTTTCAAAAAGTAAAATCAGAACCACGCAAGTGACCCTAATCCTCCCTGCCAGGGTTTACAAGCCTGTCAGCAAAACCTCAGAGTCAGCTGTATCAGAACTTTTGTCAACATAAAAAGTAATATAATAAATCCAGAGAGCAGAAGGGTGGTGACTCCCGAATCTGCTGTTGCCTGCGATGGATGGCAGGGAAGCAGAGGAGGGGTGGCCACCGTCCCTTGCAATGCACAGCTGAGCTTTCAGATCTTGTAAGCGATGGAGGATATTACCCTAACACACGCTGCTTTCAGTGCCGAGGAACAAATCGGTAAGAAAATGGATTTAAAGAAGCAATTGAATCCCTGGCACGAATGTTGATGATCGGCCTTGATCAATGTTTTTAACAAAATATTTATCCTGCACATTTCCATGCTAGAGACCCTGGCACGAATGTTGATGATCGGCCTTGATCATCGTTTTTAACAAAATATTTATCCATGCTAGAGGAATCTGGCATTTGTTCTATTTGTAAGGTCAGATTTCTTTGTCACAACGTAATCTACTAAATTCTTTCACCAGTCAGACGCTGTAAAAACCAAAGGAAGGGCATTATTGAATACTGAATTCTGTTTAAAAGTAAAAACACTTTCATGAGCTTAAAAGCAGTGAAGCCAGGCGCCCCATAGATTTGAAATTAAGTTCCCACATGTTCTCCAGCTGAACTCGCCCTGCAGCCTTTCCTGTTGTAGAGTCGCTAGCTTAAGGTGTCGTCTTCTCTATCCACTTATTTGAGGAATCTCATGGGAGTTTCATATATTTGACAATTTTACCTTCTTCCAAATGTGGTCGATATTGGCCAATAGCATTGAATATTATGACAGGTATACAAACCTAAAGCAAAATGCTGGACTAAAATAAAACAAAATAAAAAACGTAAAATCTGGGTGAAGAAAATCAGTGTTCTGGTAGTGGCCTTGTGTTTGGAGACTAAAGAAAATGAGATAATTTTTAAAGAACATAAAATCCTTATTGTTAGTCATGAGCAGTGTTGTTGAGCTTACCGGGTACAACTATAGAAAATCAAAACTAGCATATGGCTACAGATGCTAATTCAAGATCTGAGTATCGAGTCTCCATTATTTCTTGTGTTTCTAATGCATCTCCTTGGGTTTTTTGCTCTTTTGGCATTGCTCTCTTCTACAGCCTTCAGTTAGGACCCTCACTGTTTAAGTGTTTAACTGTGAAAGGGAACATGCCTGTGTTTAACGGAGAGGCTGTGTAGTACCGCTGGGCTTTCAGAAGACGGTGTGCCCGTATGCACCCCCATCCATCTGGGCGTCTGTTTCTCCTGGGCGTCTGAAAATCACGGCTTGTACGGTGCGACGAAAGGCTTTAAACACGGGGCTTGTGTTTAAACCAAAGAGTTAGCATATGGTATCCATCGGCAAAAGCTGGCTCTTTGGCAGTGCTACGATAATTATATAACATTTTAAGCTCAGAGAAGGCTTAAAATCAGGCTTTTGGTAACTGATACCACTGTAGGGTGACTGTGGTAAACCGAAGAATTGGAATAACGTTAGCTTTGAAATACCGATCGCAGTTACATGTGACTCCCAAAATGTATTTACACAGGCGTTGTAATTAGAACCGCGGATAAGCCATATTGGACAACTTCCATGTAACGTTGCTTTAAAAAGATTAAGGGATGACATTCTCACCTGCTGAAGTCAATGGGAGTTTTGCCAGTTGCTTCACTCCAGCCAGGAGTTCACCGAAACGCAGAAACGCATCCTAGATTATTAAGGCTGTGACACTTCCTGGCATGAACAAGGACGTATTAAACCAGTGGGTGTTTCTCGTGGTCTCTTATTATTCCTGTCTGTTCTGTCTTGGGTTTTTTCCCTTGTTTCCAATTGATTCTACCTCAGTATTTCCTATGTTTGTCAGCATGTAACACAACTTTAACATTATTTAAGCACAGGTTTTTAAATTTAACTAGATGTAGAAGCAATTAATGATGCCATCTGTCTTGTGAGAGAGAGATTACACAAAAGATTGTGCTCCTGAAAGCACTATTTTTTTGGCAAACAAGAAATCCTATTAGACTCTCGGAACATTTGCTCACTAATTTCAGAAGTGCCCACTTTAATGCAGTAGCTGAAAGGCTCAGATACATTTCCTGGAAGTACAGGACACTTAGGCATCCTTTCAAAGTTATATTTTACAGAAAATATCAACCGATACATGATATTTTCAGTAACACTAAAAATTAAATATATCATTGAACATCTGCTACCAATACAGTCTGAGCATTTAAATACTTAAAAATCCCTGAAACGTTCGTAAAGTTACATGCTACATAAATACAACTCTTTAAGAGATGTGAAGGGCCAAATAAGTGGAAATGTCTTTCTGCCTTTGCGGACTGAGCAGCCGTGCGCCGCAATCCACGTCCTCACGTGCACCTCCCCTGTGCGCTCATGCAGAGGGGACTTGGGAGCAGAGGAAAGAAATGGATGCACTTTGAGCTTCAGGCTCTTCATCCAAAAGCCTTTAAAAATCTATATGTCATAAGCACAAAATTAATTTTGATATGACCAATGGGGTATCGCTTATATTTTTAGAGATTGCTACTGTTAGCGAGTATTTTCCTTTGACATGCTTTTGTCGCGTTGCTGTGCTCCTTTGGAGCACTCATAGCAAAGAGACCACGTGATGGGAAAGGAAAAATGCGCATAAATTGAATGCACAAGTCAATGGGAAGCCAGAGCAAATGTAGAATTGAGAAAGTAATCTCTGTTTGGGTCCCTGTAGAGCTTTGTGCTTGTCACAGGCACTGCGGTATCTGTATTCTCTTGCAGTTCTTGCGGTCTACGCTGACCAAAAGGTGACAAGGAGGGATGCTGTCCTCGGGCCGGAGGCACTGGGTGATGCTGTAACCTTTCAGATGTAAGATAACACTGCCTCATATTTCCACCAGGGTTTCCACGTGCTTCTACTTGGTACCCAAGTCTCTCCCAGCTCCCTTTCCCTCGTCCTCACAGGGCAGCTTTGCAGTCTGTCCCTGTGCGTGCAGCCCTAGCTGGCCTGTTTGCTTCGCCATACAGCCAGTAATTCAGAGACATCTACAGATTGTCTCGTCCTCCATCTACACGTAGCTCTTCCTTAAGTTATGATTGAACTGGAGGAGGTTGCGGTTTGCAACCAACAGCACTGAGGGTAGTGCCTGCAGGAGGATCGAACTCCTGTCCGATAGTCTTCACACCTGTCTGTCCTGTGGTCTACTACATGTTGTACTTCATTTCTTGCATGTTGTTGTTTATTTTGTGTATAACTGAGGCTAAGACTGGAGTGGCAGTGCTGG